CTCATGCTGACCCGTTCTCAAGACAATGGGGGACCTGCTGACATGTTCCCACCCCCTGGGCCAACTCTCTTAATTTCAGAGACTAGAGTCAGCCTAGACTTTAACATGGTGTAGCTATGGTCAAGAAGGTGCCTTATCACAAGGACCAGAAATATACTAGACAATACTGAAGAAAATAAGAGGAAGTATCACTCTAGCAAGAAGCTACTTTAATGCTTTCCTGATTAAGATGGTGAGAACAGGAATGGACAGACCAATAAAGAAATTAAAAACTGCAAAAGGACATGCTATACAGCAGACCAGACTCGGCAGAGCAGTAAGATACACCCTTTCCTTAAGGAAAAAAAAATCTGAATGGTTCTGGAACAAGCAAGTATTCATGAGGGAGAAAAACTGGATATCAACCTGACACCATACATACATAAAAAAAATCTAGTCCATGTGAATTGTGCACTTGTTAGAGGTAAAATTCTAAAGCTTTTGGATGATAAAAAATTATCTTCATGATCTTGGTTTAGGAAAGAATGTCTTAAACATAAAAAGCACTAGCTAGAAAAGAAAAACTAAAATTGTGCTATACTAACATCAGGAATTTTATCAGTAAAGACGCTAAAGTGAGAATGAAAAGACACAATACCACAACCAGCAGAGGGTTAAAATTCAAAACGTACATACACGAGGGTTTATATACCTGAACATGCAGGTATGTAACATACCTACAAATGCAGACACAAACAAGAAAATGGCATTAATAGGAAAATAAAGAGGAGGATGGAATGCGAAAGAAAAAAATTACCAATAAACACACAAAAAAGAATTTATCAATAATCAGAAAAGGTAAATATAATACAACATCAGATGGTAAAAAATTCTGACAATACCAAATGTTGACAACAGTGAAGAGCAAGGAGTGGGTGTGGTGGTGCACAACTTTACTGGGGAGGCAGAGGCAGGTGGAGCTCTGTGAGATCAAGGCCAGCCTGGTCTACATAGCAAGTTCCAGGCCAGGTGGGGTTTATAAAGTGGTTTAATAGTAAGAATATAAAATGGTTTAAATTAGTTTGGCATCAACCAGTAAAATTAAAGTTATCTACTCTAGAAAAGCAAATTCCACTGCTGAGTGAAGTCTTAGTAACGTGTCCCAGCATTTTGTTAACAGAAACAACCAATTGGAATCAACCAATATGTCCATTAGTAGTAAATTATATAATGGAATGCTATGCAGCAATGAAAATGAACTAACTATAACTCTGGGTAATAACAAAGCAGATTCTAAAGAAGACATATAGAATATACTCAATATGACCAAATGACTCTATTTTTATAAAGTTCAAGTACATACAAAGCTGTTTATGTTCAAATATGCACACCCAGAGAGTAAACTACAAAGCAAATAAATGAATAACTTAAAGGAAGTTCAAGGTGCTAAAAGAATTTCTTGACCTTGATGTTAATGTAAACTTAATCATCTGCTAAATGTATATATATGCTTCTGTATTTTTTCAAAGACTTATTTTTATTTTTTATTTAAGTGTATGTGTGTTTGTCTATTTGAGTGTATGCCACATGAGTGCAGGTGCCTCTGGAGGCCAGAAGAGGGTACTGGATCTCTTGAAGCTGGATTACATGTGGTTGTGAGCTGCCCAGTGTGGGAACTGGGAGCCGAACTTGTGTCCTCTGGAACAGCAAACAGCGCTGTTAACAGCTGAGGCATTGCTCTAGTCCATGTTTCTGTATTTTTTCAATACAAAAATTAAATAGTTCACTACTTTTTAAAGGGCGCATGCCTATCAGTTGTCATGGGAATCACTTTCAACCAACACAGTCAGGACTCAGCTACAACTGCTCTAGCAGCTAAAACACTTTTCTAGATAAGCAATTCAATGCATGCTTTTATGTTATTCTCTGATAAAATAGCATGAAAGATACTACATATCCTCCTTTATATCAAAATAAGACTACATTAAAAAGAAAATAAATTCAAAATAATGATTTTTCAGGCAAGGATGTCACTATGTTAGAACAGGATAAAGCTGGCCTGAGTGGAGGGGATACAACTAAGATGGTGGAAAGCCGATTCATATAAACTAACTGCACGCAATTTCCTAGTTACAATTTAATCTTTTAACAGTTACCAATTTCCATTAGCAAATGATAGCTAGCATCAAGTTTTAAAATCATTTTCTAGTGCACACTGCCTATATATACTAAGTTCTAATAGCTTTCTCCCCACGTAAGAAAATTGATAATTTCTCTCATATAAATTTACAACTTGCAGGGAACCCTAAAAAACAAGTATTTTAAGAAGAAAAAAGACAAAAAGGTCAGATAAGTTTAAACAAATTTTTCTTTGTAAAATAGCCTCATACACAACTCCTCAGAAACAAATGCAAAGAACCCAAGTTCTATACTCCTATACTGAAACATAATTAAGCCCACAGAACTTACACCAGGAACAGTTAGGTAGTGTTGAACTACATGAACTTACTGGCTAATTTTTCAGAAATTTTCAACTGCTGTCGAAACAGAATGACACATTACACTCTGCAGAGTGAAATCACACAATCTGCGTGTGCCATGGAAACCAAGAAACAGCTGGTTATCTTTGGAGTCCCTTTTTCTATCCCAGCCCACATTTTGCTTCTGACTTCTAAATGTAATAACAGTAATGTCTACCAGTCATTGAAGCCCTTCTAGGAACCTCTAGGAATGTTAGTTTTACTATTTCCTCTGTATATATTGAGAAGTAGGCCTTCCAAAGAGAAAAGTCAGTCATAGAACAAATAGGTAACTTACCCAAGGTCACAGACTGCTGTAGAGTGAGGGAGCAAGAAATACACTGGTATCAGAGCACATGCTCCTAGTAGTATGCTGTTTATAGTTGATGAAATGTATTCACACCACAAATCTGTCCTTAACCCACCACCACCTTCTCACTACAAGATCCCAGATGCCTTGTGGATTTTTGCCTTTCCTTAACAACTGCATATTCAAAGACTGTTAATAGGGGAAGAGATCTAAAGAAACATTTATGGAAATCTATGGTTTTACAACTAAGAAAATAGAAGTCCAGGAGGTAATTATTTTGTCCAAGAGCACTAAAACATAACTCTTCCCTTGAGTGGTTCCCACCACACTAAACACCCTTCCAATCACGCATTAAATTGGCAAGCTTTTGCTGAAACCATACTCTACGCTCCGCATAAGCATTCAAGTCTATTTACCTACTTTCAATAGCATTCATGTGAAAGGAACATCTGAAGGTGGAGTCTGAAATAGACTCACCTAGTTCAATGAATATGTAAAGAAATGCATATACTAACAAATGGACAACCTAAATCTAAAACTTTAGGCCCTTATTATGTAAATACGAAAACATCAAATACAGTATGTGACAAGTGCTATGGTAGACACGTGAACAAGATGTTCTAAAAGCACTCAGCAAAGTAGTATTTTAGACTGCACAAAGAATGGGGACCGGGATGCGGACAAAATAAGTTCAGAGCATGCATTACACGACAAACCACAATGATGCTGAGGAAGTGGGGAAAATTCTGTCATTTCTACAAGAGATGCTAACGTTAAAATTAAAAATAAAAGACCTGAGTCGAGGTCTAGACTTAATCACACGGCTTTGAACAATTTCTGAGCCTCAGTGTCCCTCCACAAAATGACCTGCCACTTCCCAGTATTATTATGGGAGCCAAACTATGTGGAACTGAAAATCTTGTATTTAGAGACAGGAGAGATGGCTCAGCAGACAAGAGCACTTGCTACTCTCCCAGAGGCCCCTGGTTCAGTTCCCAGCACTCACACAGCAGCTCACAACCACCTATAACTTCAGTTCCAGACAATCCTACACACTCTTCTGGTCCCTGCAGGCTCCTACACACAATATTGCACATAAACTCACCCAGGAGTCGCATGCATGCACATACGTAAAAAAATAAATCTGTTTTTCAGAAAGTCTTGTATTTGTTTTCACTTCTAGGCAACCTTGTGGGTCCTTCCCCTAAACTGTGTCTCATAAAAACCTCACCCTTCAGGAAGCAAATATTCCAATGACATCATTCACAAGCTTCCTAGGACAGTGTAAACTATTAACATTAATACCTTCACACATTGAAACATCAAACGTCTATTGAAATAAATATGTAGGCTGGAGAGATGGCTCAGCAGGTACAAGCACCGGCTGCTCTTAATGAAGACCTGGGTTTCATTTCCAGCACCCACATGGCAGCTAACAACAGTCCATAATTCCATTTCCAGGGGATCCAAAGCCCTCTTCTTACTGCGAGCAATGTAGGACACGTGTGCACTTACACACATGCAGGCAATATACTCATACACATAAACTAAACTATTTTTTATATATGGATTTTAATTCCTCAAGCACTGATATTGCCTTCTTAGCCAATGCTTATATTTATAAACTAGTATGAAATCCAGGTTTTGCTCTGGAAATTTTCTATCATAAATTCCATTCCATGGTATAAGGTGTGGCCAAGCAAAACTCAAGAATAGACTGCAAGCGGGCAACCACTTTGCTCTGATCCTACACTGGTTACATGTTAACTATAGATATTACCAATGACGTGCCCTAGTCTCCAAAAAGTAAACTGGGGTACAAACAGGCATGCAAATGTAGTTAGTAAATAAACATAAATACACAGAAAAGCGTACTGAGCTTCTGATTTTAAAATACAAGGGAGCCAAAAGCGCCTGCCCCTCCCATTAAATTACACTCATTTCTTTTGAAGTTTGAGAGAGCAGACGGTACAACCATCACTCTTTTAACTGCATCCAGGCCCCACAGTCTTCAACCATCAGCCCTACCGTCTGAGCTACTCCTTGCAGGATGCGAGAAAGTTCCAACGTACAAAGTCAAAAGGCCGGGAGAGAACAGGAAAGGGACAGGGGGAGCAAGAAGTCCTCGTGCCACTCCGGGCCAGTGGCTGTTTCATCTCCCAGGCGCCAACTTCCCGTTTTTTCCCTCTTACCTTGTACACTTTCCCAAAGGCTCCGTCGCCCAATTCTCCTATAATTTCCCAAAACTCTTCGGGATTCAGGTCCCTCTTCACGTGCTCGTACTGCTTCTTCTTCTTCTCGCTCCCCAACTTGAAGATCTTACGGAAATTGAAGAAGGACATTTTGCTTCCCCAAGACTGTCCCTTGCACAAAAAGGACTAGAAACAATAAAACGCAAAGTTTGCGGAGCGTCCTCCCCC